GCGCCACTACCCCTGGCTCAGAGCCAGGATGATCCCTTGCACAAACTCTTCCGAGATTTCTCATTGCATTCAGAATAAAGTCCCAATACCTTACAAGAGAAGTAGCACCCACAGAGCTGGCCAGGGCTGTTTCTCTAATTTCATCTTCCACAGTCCTTTTCAGCAGGCACATACCAACCCTAAAGCACCATCTCTAGTTCCTCAGACACCCTCGGGCCACTCCTATTTCATGGCCTTTGTCTTTCTCCTCCTGTGACCTTCCATGACATATGCACAGACCACTTCCTTGTTCATTCACCTGTGAACATCACTTTCTCAAAAAGGCTTTTTCTTTCATCAAACCTAAAAAAGCTCCCTGCCTGCCAACCTGAACCCTCCCATCCACTCAGCCACTATATGTTTTAAAGTTTTATATTCTCTTATTACTACCCAGAACTGTAATTTTATTGTCTATCTACTTCACTAGAATGTGAACACTGTAAGGGCAGGGACTTTAACTTGATCACTACTAAACAGTATTTGTTGAATAATCAAACAATTATATTTAAAACTACCTGTATCTCACCAGCAAGGGAAGAAAAAGGGCCTGTAAAGTGTTAAGCATTTCAAATCTTTTGCAAGATCAGAGGCTATAATTAAGATACAGACACATGCTGTGATTATCACTAGGCCAGGTCCCCAGTGCTGGCTGTAAATTATACGTGGCAGGCTACCTGCTCTCCAATTCCTTCCTTGTCAAAGCCCAGCATCTACAGAGCCAGGGAGGGAAACTCAGAAAGCACTAATTCTGTCAGAAACCAGACTTTTCCTAGCATTCTTGTATCTGAGTCCAGAGATTCTTTTCCCCAAGAATTATTTTTGTAGTTTGGGGTATTTAGGTTGGGAATGATCATAGGTAACTTTGATTTACAGGAAGATGTGAATTAAGCAGAAAGCAACAGGAGGTATGGTTTAGCTTCTCCACACAATGCCTGCATAAAAGTAGGAAGTTACAGGAAATACTTTTGTTAGTCTTGATCCTCAAGGGTTGTATTTTCTCAAGATCCCGTGATAACAGGTATGTGTATTGTCATTCCACACATTCCAATTTCAGTTTACTATCTTTCCCACCCAGGCCTGTGCTTTCTACCATGCTCACACTGTTTAAGGATGCTGTATTCTACCAAGCTAAATGCACCAGCTATTTACTAGCTGTACAGATTTTGAGCGAGTTAGCCTATCTCTCTATGATCCATAAAATGTACATTAAAAATCACACCTATAAACAAAGTTGTTGTGAGGATTAATCAAAGAAATGTGTAATTAAAGCATTTCAAATTGTTGCCGTAGAGAACTTCGTCAATGAGGCACATATTATTTACCAACCTGTCACTAACTACGATGAAATGGTTCTCATCTCCAGTGTTTCACAAACTACAGACACTAGAATATAAACTGACCTAGAAGCCATCTGCCCTCACAGATGCCTATGTGTAACTGGTTTATAACAGATCTGCAAGTGTATGACAGGGAAACCTTTTATTTCTTACAACTGCTTATGAATCTAAAATTATTATTTTTTTCCAAAAAGCAGTGGCAAAGTTTATTTGAAAAAGTAAAAGTGAAGAGTGAGGGAGAAACTGGCTCTGCAGAGCAAGCTTGGGCCAAGTAAAAGAGAAAAAAGCAAAATAAAAGAACACCCTGTAGAAACCAGGGAGACCATCATGAGGAAATCAACAATAGCCTAAAATTATCTAGTTTTGTGATGCTGATATCAAAACATGCAACATAAACTCCTCAGCACTTTTTCTCAATATAATATGTATTGAAAAACAATAGTTAAATAAACCAGTAATATCTAACGGGTTTTAATTTAAAAAAATTTTTTTTCTAACTAGTTTTTAAACATGGCTTTCAACAGAATAAAAGTTACTGTGTAACACTATCAGTTACTTTACATATATTGTTCTAAATCCTTACAATCCTACTACTTAGTTCCTTTCAGCTTCTTTTAACAAAGGCTCAAAGGTTAAGTAACTTGGCCAAAACTAGCCAGGTAAGGGCCATGTGCCTGACCACACACTGTCTGTCCTTTAGTAGGCTCTCCAGTGATTTGTTACTGTGTGCACTGCATGGTCCTGTTTCGTCTTGGCAGTGCTGGAGACTGAATCTGGGCCTTTACACTGAGGTACCCTCCAGCCCTTTTCTTACTTTTAACATTGAGAAAGGGTCTCACTAAGCTGCCCAGGTGCTGGGATTACAGGCATGTACCGCCATGGCAGGTCTGACCCACAAAACGGTTAAAGGACACATTTTAATGAAGTAACAGAGCTGAGGAGTGTGAGAACAGATGCCTGAAATCTCAGCTACTTGGGAGGCTGAGGCAGGAGAACAGCAAGTTCAAGGCTAGCCTGGGCAACTTAGGAAGACTCTGTATTAAAATTTAAAAAGGATTTGGGAGTATAGCTCAGTGGTATAGTGCTTGTCTAGCATGTGCCAGGCCCTGGGTTTAATCTTCAATGCTGCAATCACCCCATAAGAAAAGGTAAACTCATGATGCCTGTGCAAATACAAAACGAGTATATGGTAGGGCTGGGGATTTAGCTCAGTGGTTCCGACGGCTGCCTTGCAAACACAGGGACCCGAGTTCGATCCCCAGTACCAAAAAAAAAAACATTAAAAAAAACCAAACAAACAAAACACTAAGCATTGGGCTGGGGATTTAGCTCAGTGGTTCCGCCATCCGCCTTGAAAGCGCAAGGACCCGAGTTCGATCCCTGGTACCAAAAAAAAAAAGAGTATATGGCAAAGATTTTATTTATGTAATTAATGAGGGAACCTGTTAAGTGCTACAAACCAATTCAAAGAATTTAAAAAGTGTTTGCGCGCAAACATATACCAGTCTGCCAAAAAAATGTATACACACTTTAGGAAAAGAAAAATAATAGGATGATTTTTCTTTTTCTTTTTTTTTAAGACAGGGTCTCACTATGTAGCCCAGGCTGGCCTCAAACTCATGGCAATCCTCCTGCCTCAGCCTCCCAAGTGCTAGGATTACAGGCATGTACCACCACACCCAGCAGTAGGATGGTTTTTCAATAGATGGTGTTACCCTCCTATGGGGACTCTAGAGGATGTCGTATATCAGAAAAACCATTACACTGCTGGCCCTTAAGAGAAGAAATTAAAAATGCATGTATAGCAACCTCAATGACCAAGGTTACCCAAGCAGTGGTTCACTGTACTAATAATTGTCTGGAAGCTGAAATGCCCACCACTTTGAGCACCTCTTGTAAATGCAGAGGCCAAAGGCAGCTTTGCATGAATTTCATGATGTCTCAATACATTTAGTATTAAAATATTTATACAAGTTTTTCTTTTCCTGAAGTGTGTGTACTCTTTTTTGGCAAACTGTATACACTCACACACATATAAATATATATAATGATAAAAGTTGACATGAATGATCAGGGTAATAAGAAATTACATCTGTCCTGGACAAACCTAATTTTCACCTTCATGGTTTTCTACAAGCTACACAGTTGTGCCCAGTGTTTTGGCACATGCCTGTAATCCCAGTACTCGGGAGGCTGAGGCAGGAAGACAGCCAAGAGTTCTAAGCCAGCCTGGACTCCATACTGAGTTCAAGGCCAGCCTGAACTACAGAGACTTTGTCTCAAAAAAACAAACAAAAAAAACAAAAACACAGTTGTAAAATATGAAAGGTATAGAGAACCTTGAAGAGTGTGCTACACACAAGACATGAATTTTTTGTTTTGAGACAGGGTCTTGCTATGCAATTCAGGCGGGCTTTGAACTATGTAGCCCAGGCTGGCCTCGAACTCGTGTCAATTCTCCTGCCTCATCCTCCTGAGTGCTGAAATTACAGGCCTGCGCCACTACTGCTGGCTGAATTTTTTTTTAAGTAACAATTTTTCCTTACAAAATTGTGCACGTGATGTTGTTAGGTACACATTTTGTAACATGCACTTTTTCTTAGGATGCTCAGCCATGACTTTTTTCAGGCTTTCAAAAAAAAAAAAAAAGTTGAAAACCACTGCTGCAGTATAGTACACTGTTCCCAGTAGAAACACTGTTTCAGGTGTCCGCAGGAAGGAGCCTCGCCGGCTGGGCCGCCAGATAAACCCTATTCAGTTTCCAAGTCCCAGCTTCTTTCCTCATTTACTGCCTCATTTATTCCCCATGTTTTTCTACCTTTATCAACGACCGCACTAAACACTTGTTGATTTTTTTCTACAAGTGGGTTTTCTTTTAGTATCGCCAGTTTCGATCCTCCTGCCTTGGCCTCCCGAGTGCTGGGAATACAGGCGCGCGCTACCACCCTGGAGCCGACTCTGGGACCCCAAAGCTCCGAAGACGAGGACCGAAAGAAAATGCCTGCGTTTCAGAACACAAGTCCACCCACCCGCTCTCCTTTGGCTGCCAAAGCTGAACCCCAAGCCGCGAAACAGGCTCAGTCTCTGACGTCCACGGCTCCTCTAGCCACTCCTACTTCTGCACTGACAACGCCCACCGCCGGGGCGCGCCCCGAACCCCAACCACAGGCTCGGGCGCCCCCACTGTCGGAAGGCCGGACTACACGGGTGGCCGAGGGCGAGTGCGCGTGCGCAGAGCGAACGTCCCGCCGCACCAACGGGCTCTTGGGATGGGGCGGGGTAACATAGAGCAGGCCTCGGAGGGATGCAGGCTTTGCCCAATCTCAGCGACCCTTGTCACTTACTCCGCTCAGTTTCCGAAATACAGGGTCAGAAGCTTGCGCCCTTCAGCCCCTTCCGTCTCTCGATCCTAGAGTCGTGGTTATTTCGCGTCATACGCCGAGCGACGCCGTTCACTTGCCCGCCTTCAGGAAGACGCGCCCGGAGGCCCAGCGTGCGTCGCTGACGTCATAAAACAGTGCCGCCTTCTGGGGTTGAGGCGTCGAAGGGAACGGTGGCTGAGGAGGCTCGGCGGCGGCTGAGGAGGCTCGGCGCCAACGAAGAATTTGATTGGTGAGTTGAAATGGCGGTTCCGGCCGAGGCGGAAGGGGGCGGGCTCATTATTGGGTCTTCAACTGGTGCTGTCCCAGGCTGACGATGTCACGCGCATTCGCGGGAGAAATTCGAGAATGGACCTTGTGCCGTGGTATGAGGTGAAATGAGGTTTTTCTCGAATTTTCAGCGGAGGAGGCGTGGGTAGGCAGGGAGACGTGAGCGATTTGGTGCGCAGGAACGCAGGAATCTGCTCTTCGAGAATCCGGCCCCGGACTGTGTTGCTTGCACCAGTGAGGCGGCGGCGGTCCCACCCTCGCTCTGACTTGCAGTTCTGATTTGCAGTTTCTTTCGGTTATTTGGCTTGATTTCTGGACAGAGTGTCACCGCAGTGATTCTGAAGCTTTTCTAGATGAATCACGTAGCGGTTCAGAGTTAGGTTCGAAAAGTCCTGCTTGTTCAACAACAAAAGGATCCCAAATACCTAGTTATGATTAACAGTGTCTGTTTTTTTTGGTACTGGGGATCGAACTCGGGACTTTGCGCCTGCCTGGCAAGTGCTGTGCTGCTGAGCTACATCCCCAGCCCCCTCAGTTTCTTAAGTGGATATAGAAATAGTATCTATTGTAATGTCAGCATTTTAATACTTCAAGCATATAGTTGCACTAAATAAATGATCTGATGTTAAAGAATCTAATATTAATAACTGCCACATGCCAAGCACTGTGTCTGTGTTATATACATTCTCGTCTACATCCACAAAATATCCAGCCCATTCTAAAGAGGGGAGCAAGTTGCTCTGGAAGCACCAGAGGTACGTTTCTGTGGACCCCTGTTCTCTTCTTGGCATTCTTAGGCATCTCGCGATTCCCATGGGCTGAAAGAAAGATGTAGACAGTAATATTTCAGATGGTGACAACTTTGTGTGTCTGGGCCCTGCCCTGTGACCTGTGTCCCTTGTCCTGGAGCAAGCATACAATCTCATTTGCCTGCCTCTTATCTTGTCCTACCTACATTCAGCAGCCAGCATGATATATGTAAAATCTAGGTCAGGTTATATCATGGTTTTTTTTTCTGGTACCAGGGATCAAACTCAGGACCTTGCGCTTTCCAGGCAGGCGCGGTGCCCCTCAGCTGCATCCCTGGCCCTGTCATGTTATTCTTAAAATCTTTCCACATCTACTTACTGTCTTCATGGACAGTCCAGACTTTTCAGCAGAACATAGCAAGTTTTCCGAATCCAACTACCAATGACTTCAGCCTGCTCTCTCAGCCCTTGCACTTCTAGCGTAAACACACACACACACACACACACACACACATACACCCTGTCCCTGGACTATTCAGAGGTTCCTGAGCGGGCCTCTGCACATACTGCTTCCAGTTTGGCAGACCATCTTCCCTTGGGGAATGATACAGCTTCTGTGTTCCTCCCTTGAAGAAGCTGGGTTCCTGTCCTACCTGGACCAGGTTGGGTCTCTGGCCTGTATTTAGTCCCAGCATCTTATTGTAGTTAATGTTCATTGCTCTGCTCTACTGAAAATTCCTTGAGATCAGGGACAGCATTTTGTTCATTTAATATCTTAGCCTAGCACAATGTCTGGCATTTAGTAAGAACTGAACAAACACATCTAATTTTCAAGTCATATGTAGGTAGTGTATCTTGTATGTGTAAGGAGGAAGTGGGCCCACAATCACAAATGACAGTTTTATTGAATCCCTCTGGGTTTTTAAGGCCATGTTCTCAAACTTGAACATGCATCATCATCACTTAAAGGGCTTGTTAAAGCACAGACTACTGGGCCCCAGCTCTGAGCTTTATGATTTCTGAGGAGTAGAACCTAAAAATGTTCATTTCTCTCTAATTTGTGTTGGTTCAGAAGTCATGTGGCACATGCTTACAATGCTAGCACTCTGGGAGGAGGATCCCAAGTTAGAGCCTGAACCAGGCAGTTTAGTGACTTAGTGAGATCCTGTCTCAAGAAATAAAGAAGGGTTGGGGCCAGGGATTTAGCTCAGTGGTTCCACTGCCTGCCTTGCAGGTGCAAGGACCCGAGTTTGATCCCTGGTACCAAAAAAAAGAAATACGGGCCAGGGATTTAGCTCAGTGGTTCTGCTGCCTGCCTTGAAAGCGCAAGGACCCAGGTTCGATCCCCGGTACGCGCCCCCACCAAAAAAAAACCAAAAAAAAAGAAATAAAGGGTTGAAGATGTAGTTCAGTGTGAAGGTCTTAGGTTCAATCTCCAGTACAAAAGAAAAGAAAGATGTACAGTCTGCCTCTGTCTCTGAGTTCTGTGTCTGTAGAACTGAGCACTTTAGACTTTTTTTCTTGTCATACCTGAACAATCAAGGATAGCAACTATATACATATCACATTGTATTAGGTATTTTAGTGATCTAGACTTGATTTAGAGTATACAGGAGGGTGTGTATGCATTATATGCAAAATGAATACTTCTATATGAAAAACTTAAGCACCTGCAGATTTTGGTATTGTGTATGTGTGAGGGGGATTCTGGAACCAGTTCTTCACTGCTAGCTGACACCTGGAGGTAAGGGGATATTTGAAACACAAGGGGGCCATCTTGTGGGCACTGTAGAATCCTGAAAACTAAAAATTGGATTTGGCTTGTAAGGAGCCAAGCACAGAAGCAAACATTCTCACTCTGATACATATTGTGCCTGGAACAGTGTTTGCAGTCCACTAATTAGTTTACAAGTTTTACTTGGTTTTCTCTTTTTCCACAATATCCGTGACAGATGATTTAATTATACCTCTGTTTCCCTTGGTAGTCTTCCAGCTGTGATCTCTGTCTCTAGTCAAGTGTTTCTTGGGAAAATTTCTAACTGATACATATTCTTTTTATCAGAATTGAATGTTCTGTCATCTTTAATTTTAGGTGGTATAAATACTTGAATAAACACTGATGATTTTCTGGACCTGACTGGTTTACAACTTCAGAAGAAACAATGGAAAGCCAAGAATTTATTGTAAGTCTTACTAATTTTCCCTGTTGTCCCCCGTTGATTTTGTTGGTACTGGAGATTGAGCCTAGTGTTTCTGTTCTGAGCTGTGTCCCCAGGCCTTTTTCATTTTGTGGTATCTTCCTGACTGCTGAATTTCCTACCTCCGCCTCAGAATGCTGGGATTCCAGGTGTGCTCTGCTATGCTATGCCTGCCTCCTCCCTCCCCCTTTTTTGGTTTTTTTGGTTTTTTTGCTTTCTGATGTCTCCTCAAAACAAAAAGCAGAGCACTGGATTAAGTTTGAATTTCAGATAAGCAATGAGTGGTCTGCCTGCATAAATGTGCCCCAATCTGGCAACCCTGTCTTTTACATATGACTCATATTTATTGAGGGCCCTTTGTAACTTGGGACCAGGAAACACCTTTTTGCTTTGAAGATCTGTTTGCCTCTTCTGTCTGGATAGTGATTCTCACTACCTTTGGTCTTAGGACCGTTTCATACTCTTAAAAATATTTAGGGGTGGGGGATTTAGCTCAGTGGTTTCACCACCTGCTGTGCAAGTGCAAGGACCCGAGTTCGCTCCCCGGTACCAAAAAAAAAAAAAAAATTTAGGACCCCCGAAGTTTTTTTCTGTGTAGAGCTTAACTGATATTTGTTATATTAGAGATTAAAACAGCTTGAGTATGGTGGTGTACATTGTTAATCTCAGAACTCTGGGAGGCTGAGGCAGGACAATCACAGATCCATGCCCAGCTCGGGCAACTTAGTGAGACCCTGTAATAAAATAAAAAAGAATTAAAAATAAATAAGAGAAATATAGCCCTAGCTGGCCTCGAACTTGTGGTAGTCCTCCTGTGTGAGCCTCCTGAGTCCTGGGATGACAGGTGTGCACCGCCACACCTGGCTCCCTTGCATTTGATGGCTTGGAAGCTCAAAATTATTTGTGGTGCTCAGTTAACTTTTTGGTTTCTTCTTTAGATTATTTTTTTCTGCGGTGCTGGGGACTGAAGGCCTTGCGCATAGTAAGCAAGTGCACCACCACTAAGCTCCGTCTCCAGCCCTCTTTAGATTTTACCTGTCCTTCTTCTTTTGTCCATGTCTTTTACTACCTACCCAGCTAAGTGGCTAATTTGTTTTTTATGGTACTAGAGATTAAACCCAGGGCTACTGAGCTATATCCTTCCCTTTTTTTTTTTTCCTTCCCTTTTTGTGAGGATGAGGTCTCACTGAGTAGCCCAGAATGGGCTTGAACTTTTGATCCCCCTGCCCCAGTCTCTTAGAGTGTTCCACCATGTCTGACTTCAGCTTGTTTTTCCCTGCTGCTTAGCATTGAACTGAGGGCCTCACGCAAGCTGAGCACACATTCACTCACTCATTCATTCATGCTATTGTCATAATACTGATGCTTTTTATTTTTTTTCAGTACTGGGATTTGAACTCAGGACCTTGTGCTTGACAGGCTGAGCTACATCCCTGGCCCACCAATGTTTTTATTTTGATGAGAGATGTTGTAAATATTTTTATATGTAGGAAGGATATATAAAGTATGTAACATTGAATATCTATAAAGTGAAGCTGTTGTTTCCTTCTGTGCTTTGGGAAATCAGGTCTTATACACTCATCAAAAGACAAAGAAGGCCAAAGTGTGGCAAGACGGAACTCTGAAGCTCTGCCCCTCAGGAAACAAGGTACAGGCAGGCTGGGCACTGACCTAGGGGCAGGCGTGGCCTGTGGTCCTGGACCCTGCAGCTGATCCCACATCAGATACGTCCCTGTGGCCGTGGTGCACAGACAGGCTTTCAGAGGTTTCCCTGAAGTAGCGGATAGCTTGGTTAACTGTGCTGATAAAAGTCCAGTGTGGCATTTCTTTTGCTTGGAGGACAACCTATGTAACCAGGTGTTGACTCCATGGCAGGCGTGCTTCAAGTGTCTCAATTTACTTAGTCTCTATGGCTCTTCCATGAGTGAGAAATGAATTTTATTTTCCTGAGGAGGAAACTGAGGTGCGGAGAGGAGAAGCAGCTCACCCAGTGTCTCAGAGCTGGGACGTTGGAGGGTCAGGGACAAACTGAGCCACTTTGGCTCGAGAGCTCAAGAGCCTGTGTGCTAACCATGTCACTCTCTTTTTGTTTGTTTGTATTAGCCCAGGCTGGCTTTGAACTCATGGTGATCCTCCTGCCTCAGCCTCCCGAGGGCTAGAATTGCACCATGCCTGGCTTCCACATTTCTCTTAATTTTACTAATTTAGAAAAAGAACTTTATCACAGAAGGGCTTATGATGTCATGTAGGACACACAGGTGACATCCATGTCCCTCCTTGTGCTGCTAGAGATCCCCATGGTCTGTCCTTAACTGTCCAACTGTAACGGGTTATCACTGAGGGGAGCTTTTCAGTAAAGGAGGCTGTTTATGACTATTTTTTAAGTGAGAATTTATTAAATCAGCAAAAAACTTTCAACAAACTAGTTTTGCCTTGAGCCTTCAAGTTCAATTTCTGTAAGCCTATTAAGTGTTTATTTTTTATTAAAAAATTTTTTTTTTTTTTTGGTTGTATGAGACAAAGTGTCCTTATGTAGTTCAGGCTGGCTTTGAACTCACTGTGTTGCACAGACTGAGCAGAGAGAGGCATAATCAACATTTGAAATGAGTGCACTTTCAAATCCAACTTCAACAAGGTGGCAAATTCTTTTATTATGTGATTTACTTACAGAACAGCTTTTTCTTTGCTATTGGAGATGTTTGAGAAAAGCAAAATTATATTCTATATCCTTTTTTTTTTTTTTAACATTTCTTCTGTTTTAACACAGGCAGTTTTACATGATGACAGAGGAGCTTGCCTGGAAAATCTCTTTCTGAAGTGCCTTGAGGTATGTCAATGTGTTTATCTTCTTTTTAGGTTATTGTTTAAAAGTCTCTTTAAATATTTCTTGGGTAATTTGTTAATTGTGTTGTCAAGGTACTAATACTAATAATTATAACTTTCTTTTTTGAGGCACTGGGGATTAAAACTGAACCCAGGGCCTTAACACTGAACTGTATTCCCCAGACCTTTTTTATTTTTGTTTTTGAGACAACAAAGTCTTGCTCATTCACTAAATTGCCCAGGGTGGGGTTGAACTTTCAGTTCTCCTGCGTCAGACTCTCAGAGTACTGGGACTTTTGGCATGCACTGCCGTGTCTGGCATGACTGGTATTGGTTGGACATTTATCGTAACTAGGGTTGCAGGACACAAAGGTTTGGTAAATTGCCTACATTCGTATGGTTGTGCGGATAGTTCTGGGATTCACACCCAAGAAGTGAGTCTTTTATTTGCACCACTAAGCTGAGTCCCAGCCCTTTTTTGTGTTTTATTTTGAGACAAGGTCTCACTAAGTTGCTAAATTGCCCAGGCTGGATTCCGATTTGCCACCCTTCTGCCTCAGTCTCCCAGTGTGCTGAGATTATAGGCCTGTTCCACCAGGCAAGTTCGATTCTATTGTATGAGTTTTTTGTTTTTGTCTTTTTTTGAAGGGATGGAGTCTTACTCTGTTGGCCACACTGGCCCTGAACTCCAGGGCTCAAGTGGCCCTCTTGTCTCACCCTCTCAAGTAGCTAAGACTCTAGGTGTGGACCGGAGTGCCTGGTTACGTGACTTTTTGATAGGCAGAGATCTACACTGGGAGATACTTTGTGGAATTATTCCTGTTTAAATCTCCTCTCAGATATTTATCATTTTCCCCTTGCTGCAAAAAGGAAAGAGAAGGAGAGAAAGAATAAGGATATTAAACTTAACTATTTTGGATTCATTTCCAAACACCTCCTAGCTGATTTATCGTCTCCATGTCTAACTTCTCAACTGTAAAATGTAGTTCTAGGCAGACTTAATGGGATTGGTCTGAAGATTACAAAAAACTGTAGAGTATCTGGCAGTTTAGTACAGTGATTCTAAATACATTAAAATACACATTCTTATCTTCATTATGTTATGTTTGGCCATGGCTTTTAGTTCATCTTGAAATTTCATATGATATGGATACTGGTTCTACATTTATTTTTGTGAAGAGGGTCTAAGGCATTATTCCAGTAGATGCTTAATTGGGTGTAGCTACCATTATTATTTCACCTTAAGCTGTTTCATTAGTAAAAGATTAAGCTATAGAGATTTTGTGTATTTCCAAACTAGGTTGATGACCTTGTTTACGCCTCCATCAGTGGCCCTGGTGGTGGTGGCAGCAGCAAGTCCTGTACTTGCTCAATAAAGTGATCAGATGCTTTCCTTGGGCTGGGATTTTGCTCAGTGGCATCGAGCCTGCCTCACAAGTGCAAGGTCCTGAGTTCGATCCCCAGTTCCAAAAAAAAATGCTTTCTTTGAATGTGATTATTTAACCTACTATGGTTTTTAATGCCTTAAATATATGATAATTGTGAATATCTAATTCATTTTAATTTATAAAGATATAATTGATAACTAATCGCTCTAATTTGAAAAATGATATCTACTCATATGGGTTCTAAGTAAATTCCCTGAGAAGAGGCATGGTTTGCTGTTTGTCCCACTTAGAAAATTCTTACTTACAAATGAGTGTTTCTATTTTATTTTATTTTATTTGGTACCGGGGATCAAACTTGGATCCTTGCACTTGCAAGGCAGGCGGCGGAACCACCGAGCTAAATCCCCGGCCCCATTGTTTCTATTTTAACTTAGGAAATATTTATTACTACTTTACCAGGCATGTAACAAGGGGCCTCCTGTGGGCTCCACTTGAATGGACAAGTGAGCCAACTATTAAAATTGTATGATGCTTTTCTGTGATTGTTGATAGTTAACTAGGGTAGCCTAAGAAATTATTGAGGAATTTAGTTACTGATTTATTCATTTTACAGTTATGTATTAACATCTGTTATGTCTTGCCAGTTTTAGTGGGCTTAGTGGACATTCAGAGAACAAAGAAGTTGGATGTGTAGGATGTTAGCATGTATGTGTGTATGTATGTATTTTGCAGTGCTTGGGATCAAACCCAGGGTCTGGCACATTCTAGGCGATTGCTTGACCACTGAGCCATGCCCCAGCCCATTACATATTTTTTTTTTCTTTTTGGTATGGGGATCAAACTCAGGACCTTGCGCTTTCGAGGCAGGCGGCAACACCACTGAGCTAAATATCCAGCCCCCATTACATCTATTTTTAAAATTTAGGTGAAACCTGGAGCTGACTTAGAAAGTGATCGCTACTTAATCACAGTTGAGGAGGTAAAGGCCACTGGAAGCCCAGCTGTTCAACAGGAAGTCATTAAAGAAGCACCAGGATGGGGTTCCAGGGGCTTGGTGTCTTCCAGCTGGTCTCGTGGGTGTCAGCCCCCCGGTTTAAAACGGAAATCAACTGTAAGTTTCTCTGTGGGCAATAGTATATCAATATATGTTTATAAAAGTGTTTCAATAGTAATGAATTTTGCAGTTACTGTATCCTGCCATTCAAATAGTACTTCATTTGCACAGAAAGGAAATAAATCCCAGTGAGAAAAATCTTACTAACATAAATATTTATATTTTAACTCAGCAAATATTTGTTGCTACTTATCTTAGTCAAAGCACAGGTATTCCTTCCTTTTTTTTTTTTTTTTTGGTACCAGGAATTGAACTCAGGATCTTGTGCTTGCAGGCAGATGTGGTGCCACTGAGCTAAGTCCCTGGCCTCTTCTTTTCTTTTAGCCAGTTTATTTCATTTTTTCTTTCTTTTTTTTCCAGTACCAGGGTTTGAACTCAGGACCTTTCGCTTGCGAGGCAGGCACAGTGCCACTGAGCTAAATCCCCAGCCCTTATTTCATCTTTTCTTTATAGATAGTGGTATAGCTAACAATTGTTTTAATATTTTTAGGGTTTTCGAGGACTGCGTCAAGTCCCAAAGAAAATGGTAGTTACAGAAGATGAGGAATCCTCTGCATCATTTGAGGCTGGCACTGTTGTTCCTCCATTCTATAGCTCGGTGCCTTTGTTTCCTGCTGTGGGCCGGAAGGAGATAAATAACATGCAGACAGACCCCGAAGGCACTGTCGCTGTGCGAGCTGGAGAGAGCTGGGGCCGGTTTCCGACCAGCTCCTTTGAGGGGAGACCGGCAGTGCCAGGGCAGGAGGAGGGTCTCTGCACGCCTCTCGGCTCTGGATGTCAGCGTGCAGACCCTGTGCTGGCCACAGAGCCCATGGGAGGACATGGCTCAGCCCCTCCCCGCCCGCAAGTCTCGCAGCAGCACATCAGAAGCAAAGCGCAGATCTTAGCTCTTCTGAAATCCACACCAGCAGCCGTGCATGAGAACCGAGAGGCTGAGCCACCAGGACACTTCTGGCAGACTTGGACCCCACCGGCGGGTGGAGCCAGCCTGGAAGGGCATGCTGAGGTGACAGGCACGGAGGGCCCAGGATGCCAGGAGCAGCTGGAGAACACCATGGGAGGCAGAAGCCGCTGGGCCAAGTATTTATCCCCGCTGAGTTCCTGGGCAGCTGCTTCTGCCTCAGGGGGGGATGATGTGGAGAGGCAACTGGCAGTGCAGGAAAATGACGTGAATTTGAATTTGGAAGGCCTTTTGGTACAAAAAATCCAGGCCTTTGGAACATGTGCTGAAAAGGGCAAAAAGCATCTTGAAGACGAGCCAGTGGATAATAATGAGTGTTGGAATCAGGAAGAAAAATTAGAAATTCCTTCATTCTGTGGAAGCAGCAGCTTGCTGGTGAGCTGTAGCAGTGTAGGAAAGGGTGCGTTACTCTCAGAAGCTGGTATTTGCAAAAATAATAAAGCACCTTTCAGTGGAAATGACCAAGGGTGCACTGGAGAAGCTGTGAGGGGGGTTAGTACATGGGGACTCCCAGGGCAGGACTGGCGGCTTGGAATGTGGCCTCTGCCAGCCTCAAGACATCTGCAGGTTGAATCTGCTCTGAGTCATGACACTGTGGACAAGGTTTCAGAAAGCCCCACTGCCAGTGAGAGTCTGGGTAGTGTCCAGGAATCTGGAGGGAGTAGGACACAGCCACTTTGGGAGGTAACTTTTAACCTGAGCAATTTTGAGACCAGTGATATGGAGGAGGACACACAGGAAAGCAGCAGCATTTCCCAGGATGCAGGGGTCTGGGTAAGGGAGATTCCAGGAAATGGCAATGCATGTATTCAAAAGCCATTCGAAGGTCCAAGGTGTCAGGAAATTAGCAGTGAAAATTTGCCACGCCTAACGTCTGTTGGTGACAAGTGGATAGAGAAGTGTCCGGTTAAAGAGTCACTATCAAAGTTTTGTGATAAAACATGTGTGGGTATGGACACGGGGCCTTGTGAAGGGGGAAGCACTGGAGAAGCAGTAGCAGAGGACTGTAGCGACGCTGTAAGCGGTTCCAACCTGTCCACAGTGGGGAGCGATGACGGAGATGTAGATAGCAAAGAAGATGCGAACAGATCCACCCAAAACATTGGCAGTCACTATGATTTTGCTTCACTCTCAAGTAAATCTAAAGGAACAGATGCAGAATTACATACTCCTGACTTTTTAAACATAGTCACTAATCAGACTCCTCAAAACAGTGACTTACTTTCCCATATACAAACTCCACCTTTTACTTTGGGAAGTGACTTAGATAGAGATGCTAAACAGGTTTTCCTGCCAGTCTCTGACAATGAGAATAGTATCCGGCGGTTAGATAGTCAGGATCACTGGGAATCTGTTGCACTTGCTAAGTCCAATTCCCGAGTTTGCAATTCTTTGCCTACCCATCGGGAAACAAAGCAGCCTCTTTACAGAGACACTGAAGCTTATATTCCTGAATGTGAGGATTTGGGGAGGGGTCCAAGTCTGTCTCATGACCATGATCACATAGAAACTGCCAGAAACAGCAGTCAGTTCTGGACTAATCCTAGAAACTCTTCAGGTCTCTCCAGAATAGTCAATAACATTTCCCTTCTGAAGTCACTGTCTGAACCCAGTACTGCTTTGGAAAGCTTGGAAATGCTGAAAAAGGGAAACACTACCTTTCCACAGCGAAGAGCTCTGCAGGCAGAAGAGGCAGAGAGCAGAACTGAAGGTTAGAAAGATGTGGCTTCTGGATTTTCTCTTTGAAGCTCAGGCTGAGTAAAGAATTACATGGCTGCCAATTTAAAAAATTCCATAGTGTTTAACAGCCAGGTGTGGTGGCGCATGGCTGTGATCCCAGCACTTGGGAGGCAGAGGCAGGAGGATCATGGTGAGTTCGAGGCCAGCGAGAAGCACAGTGAGACCATGTCTCAAAAAAGCAAAAAATGGGCCAGGGATTTAGCTCAGTGGTTTCACTGCCTGCTGCGCAAGCACAAGGACCCAAGTTTGATCCCCAGTACCAAAAAAAAAAAAAAAAAAAAAAAAAAAAAACAGAAGAAAATATCCCAAAATACAAAACAAACAAAAGAATTCCATAGTGTTTAAGTAGGTAGTGCGTGTACTTGGTAAAACCTATTCTAATGGTGTGTAATGGTGAAAACCAAGTCTCCCTCCTATCACAGCCTCTTCGCCCACTCCCCAGAGTTAGCCATAGTCTCTGCCTGGAGAATTCTAGAGTGTTCTATGCATGTACCATGTACACCAATATTGGCACATAGAAGTGAATATAACTGCAGGCCAAGTGTTCCTAACCCCAAGCGCTGATACTTAACTATAAGCCTTTCTGTATTTGCACTTTGCTCACACTTCTGCGCCATGGAGGTCTTCCTCTCTTTTCTCTCTTCTGTAATTGTATTTTTTTGTGTGTGTGATACATGGAACTGAAACCAGGACGTTCGCCCTGAGCTACATTTCAGCCTCCCGCCCCTGCATCCCAGCCCTGTTTTTATTTTGAGACAGGGTCTTGATGAATCTCTAAGTTGCCCAGGCTAGGCTTGAAGTTGAAATCCTCCTGCCCCAGGCTCCCAAAGTGCTGGGATCATGGGCGTGTGTCACCATGCCTGGCTCCATAATTGTGTCACTCTATTCCCCAGTATGAAAGGGGCTTGGCTCTACACAGTGGCATATTTTCTTCCTCAGCTCTGTGGTATCTACCAAATGTCTTTCCAATTGTCACACTAACATCACTGCTAGGGAGGAGACCTTTACAGTGCGAATCGCTTTTCAGTAAGTGATACTATATATCCACGTAGCTAAGCATCATTTTGTCCTTTTCCTAAATGTCTATTCTACTCCTTGGTCCAGGTTTTTTGTTTTGTTCCTTATTTTTGCAATACAGGTGATTGATCCCTGGGCCTTCTCACTGAACTACATTTCCAGCCCTTTTTTGTTGCTGTTTTTTATTTAGAGACAGCCTTGTGATATTGCTAAGTTGCTCAGGCAGGGATAAAACTTGTGATCCTCCTGCCTCAGCCTCCTGGAGTGCTGGGGTTATGGACATGGGCTATGGGCATGTGCCGCCATGTCTGACCTTGTCAGGTTTTTAGTGGGTTCTACTGTTTGCTCTCCTTGATCTACTAGAGTTCTTTAGATATTGCAGATATTACCCCTTGTGTTTGTTGCACATACTTTTAGTACGTCATTGGTCTTTTGATTTCCTTACATTGCCGACAGAGTTGTCCTTTAAAGAATGTAATAGTAAATACTTGTACATGTGAACGTAAATGAATTTTGTACTTTACAATAGTCTCAGAAAAGCTAAAATCTCAAGTCATTTGTGAGTACAAATAAATCACTGTACCTACTAAAATGATTCTTTGAAATGTAGTTAACTTTGATAATAACTTTTAATAGTTTAATTTCTTAAAAATAATTAAAAATCTTTAATGAAAAATAAGGGTGGGTCTATAATACCATATAAGATTCTAAAATTTTTTTTTTTTTTTGGTACCGGGGATTGAACTTGGGACCTTGCGCTTGCAAGGCAGGCGCCAGAACCACTGAGCTAAATCCCTGGCCCAAGATTCTAAAATTTTAATATGAAGATTTAGAAATTACAAAATTTAGTTTTGAGGATTGGAAGGAAGAATTGTCGTTGATTCTCATCATTTGCTATGATTATGTACTAGCGAATCATGAGCCAATTCTCCTGTGGGAAATACAGGATTGGGTTCCTGCAAGCCTCTACTTGGGACATCTTTGTCACTTCATCAATACATATCCTTATTTTATGTGTGTTTCTGTTTAAAGACGCCTTCTTTAAGCCGAGTGTGGTGGCGCACCCCTGTAATCTCGCACTCAGGACTGAGGCAGGAGAATCACCAAAAGTTTGAGGCCAGCCTGGGCTACATAGCGAGACCCCATCTCAAAAAACCAAAATATAAATAAATAAATAAAGACACCTTTAATATATAGTTGTCTCAATAGCGTTGAACTCATGGTTGACTGGACTATAACCGAAACCTAAACAAAACTTAAACCAACATGCATGTTTCCCATGAGAAACATCAGCCTTCTTGTACTTAGGAACACTTAAGTAGCACTATTGTTTTCTTTCTCTTCTCTTTTTTCTTTTTGAAACAGGGTCTTGCTCTGCAGTTCACTCTGGGCTTGAACTCACTATGCAGCCCAGGCTAGCCTGGAACTTGGTGGATCCTCCCATCTCAGCCTCCCAAGTGCTGGGATAACAGGTGTGCACTGCCACGCCCTACCAAATAGCATTATTCTTGGTGAACATTTTAAGTAGCAAAATCAAGAGGTCCAGTAGCATAATTGGTTAGTTTGTAGTACTTATAAATACCAAAGTCACAACAAAAGGCACAAAAACGTGAAAAACCAGACAGTAAGTAGTCCACAAAACATGGGTGTAAAGTGGAAGCTCAAGCAAGCAGAGTATTCCCTTGCTGGGGATGTCCGCTGTGGGTAGCTTAGTTTTTATAAATAGCGACGTTAGCAGCCACAATGGCCCATGGCTGTAATCAAAATGGTGGGGTGGATTGCAAGTTCCAGCCCAGTCTGGGCAATTTAGTGAGACCCTGTCTCAAAGCAAAAGATAAAAAAAGTGCTGGAAATGTAGCTCAGTGAAGGCCTGGGTTCAGTCAGTCCCACACCACTACATACACACACACAATGTGGACTTTAGGGAGCAAGGAGAACCCCTGGGTGATGGAGGCTGACTTTTCTGATATAATTCTTTAAAAGTGATTAAGTTGCTTTTCTTGAGACTTGAGAAAGTTGAATCTATTGGAATATAATAAATGTAGAGTTTAATACAAAGCTAGAGAAGAATCACCACTTTGGAATGTGAGAAGATATCTTATTTTATCGGGTCCCTGCGCTTGCGCAGCAGGCGGTGAAACCACTGAGCTAAATCCCCAGCCCAAGAAGATATTTTAAAACTCCAATTTTTAAGCATTTTTCTGAGATGATTGAATATTGCTTAGAAATGTTAACTTAGAATTTTATTTTGGAGTGAAGGCAGTAAAGGAAAAAAATCAACTTGCATCAAGTACTTTTCAAAACTCTAGAAATAACATCAAATTCCAAAAAAAAACCCCTCTTTCTAGCAATAACATGAAGTTCCAACTCCATTTGTTATTTATTCTGATATATAACAGGAAACTAATGCCCCCCTTAACAGTAGCCTAAAATTGAATTTCACATCAGATAGACATGATTTTTAGAATAATATTTAAAGTTAGCCTTGTGACTGTAAATATAGAATATTAAATATGTACTTTTAAGAATTTTTTCTTGCAGTGCTGGGAATTGAACCTAGTGACTGGTGCATGCTAGGCAAGCACTCAGCAGCTACTACTGAGCTATAGATGCTCCACCTGGATGTCCTGTGAGTCAGGCTGACCTGCAGGCGTGTCAGCATGTGTGCTCCATTCCCCATTTGCTTGTTCACCCAAACACTTAACCTTTTTATCTGTACCTCTCTATCTCCATTACCCTTCCTTGCAAGTTTTTTCTTTTTCTTTTCTTTGAGACAGGGTCTCCTTGTGTAGTTCAGGCTGGGCTTGACCTCACTGTGTAGCCCAGGCTGGCCTCCAACTCATGGTGATCCTCCTGCCTCAGCCTCCCATTTCTGGGATTACAGGTGTGCACCATCACGCCTGGTTTAAGGAAGCGGTCATTAAACAGAACACATACAATCAGGTCATGTCCTAATGGAGAGCTTGGAGCTTGGCTGTTATTTGCCGTGAGACCTACGCAGCACTCCTCTTTCCAGTGCATCACCCCTCTTCATGATACCTTCTGGCATCGCCATCTGAATCTGTCAGGTTTAATTATTTGTCTGTGTCCTTCTGTTTTTAGGATGTTATTTTTTCTTACTGCTCTTTCCTAGTACTGGCTCACTATACTAGGAGAATAATCATTGAATGAATAAATTACAATTTTTCCCCAAGCCATAATCAGATGGTTTTATGGAAATAGCATGAGATAGGATTTTCTTTTCTGTGGTTGCACACAGCAGGAGTATAATTATGTTGGTTTTCTTGCTCCTAACAATTGGTGAGTATTTCATTTTTAGCATTTTAAATATAGGTGATTAGCTGTCAGCTTAGTATTTATTCTTTAAGTTCATTTGAAGAAAGAAAAATACAGGAAACATTCCTATTGTCACCTTGGAAAGTAACCAAAAAGGCTTTCCTTCGAAGTATTTTTTTAATTAATTTTTTTTTTTTTTGGTACTAGGGATCAAACTCAGGACCTTGCACCTGCCAGGCAGGTGTGGTGCCGCTGAGCTACATCCCGGCTCCTGTTTTTTTTGAGACAGCATTCGCTATGTAGCCCAGGCTGGCCTCAAACTTAGGTGACCCTCTTGCCTCAGCCTCCTGAGTGCTGGAATTGCGGGTGTGTTCCATCATTCGCATCTGTAAATATTTTTGAATCCTTAAATATCCACCATCAAGATCAAACAATTTTTAAGAATTTGTTTTATCTTAAAATTTGAGTTATATTCCTTGTGTCTTTCAGTTTTAGAAATGTTTAAAACATTTTTATAGCACTGTACATATGATGAATAAGATTATTTCATTTTCTCCATTACAGCTAGGAAACCATTTATAAGGATACCATTTACTCCTCATGTGAACCAGGACTTGCAGCAGGTGTTTATATATTTTTGTAATAGTTTATCTCGATGCAAACATTCTATAATTTGTAATAAAATTGTGATGCAGTCCCAAGCTGTCTTGGTGCATGATTTTGTGGTAGTAATTTTTCTGTTGCATCCCTTAGTCAAACAGTACACCTAACAGTTCCATTTATTAAGTAGAGAGTGGTATTAAACGATACTGTGTCCTGGTAACTTAGTAAGCATTTCCTCTTGATTGACTGATTGACAGAGTCCTGCTCTGTAGCCCAGGCTGGCCTTGAAGTCACAATCCTGCCTTGGCCTCCCAGGTGCTGAGATTACAGCATTTTATTTTTAAATAAACATAGCTCCTAGTGTAGTGTGTCTGTGTTGGGCACTGTGCACATCTCAAACCCTGGAATCACCTAGAGGCCCCATCGTATCTCTTGTTCTTCGATGATTTTCTCAGAATTACTTTGTCACAGCAGTCTCTGAAAGTCCAGCACACCAGGGCATGACCGGCATTGAAAGCAAGGCAGAGACCTGCTCAGCATTGACCTGCCTGCCTTAGCTCCTTTTGTGTCCAGCAGGTGGCCAGAGATGCTGTTGCTTTAGAGCCCTCTGTGGAGCCCCTACAAACCCCAGAAACATTCTAGAGCAGCTTTTTGCACAGATGGGTACTTTGGTTACAGTTTCAAAAGCAGCAGTATTAATTACATCGAGGTGGAAATCTAGAATAAATCATCTTGAGTAGTATTTCCAGGGGTGATGCAGTTGGCTGATTTTGAGGGACAAATTTCCTATTATAGGCCACTGCTCCTTCTAGCAGACAAGAGTGGAAGAAAATGAAATGTTTCATTTGTCCTCATTTGATATCTTTCTCCATGTTACAGGTTCATTTTTTCTTTTTTAAACATGGTGGCCCACACCTGTAATCCCAGCGCGCTGGGAGGCTGAGGCAGGAGGATCGAAAGTTGGAGTTTAGCCGGGCCAATTTTGTGACTTAGTGAGACCCTGTTTCACAATAAGCAATAAAAGAAAAAGGGCTGGAGCGTAGCTCAGTGTGAAGGCCCTGGGTTAATTCTCCAGTACTGTAAAAAAAGGAAAGAAAGTCTTGATTTTTTTTATTTTGTTTTTTTAAATACAGAAACAGGAAAATATAAAATTCACACTACCTCCTAGAGATGACTGTTAGGAAATTCCTAGGTTTTTCTGTGTGTGACTACTTTAAAAATTGGTTATGTAGGGCTGGGGATGTAGCCCAGTGGCACTGTGCCTGCCTCCCAAGTGCAAGGTCCTGAGTTTGATCCTTGGTACCAGAAAAACCCAAAAACAAACAAAAAAACATAGCACTAAGGAGATGTCTATTGGTATACATCTACATAACCAATTTTTTTTTTGGTACCGGAGATCAAACTCAGGACCTTGCTCTTGGGAGGCAGACACAGTGCCACTGAGCTACATCCCGGCCCTTAGATACCTCCTTAGTATCATGGTATGTTATCTGTATTCCTAAGAGCTCTTCCTAAACATGCCTTTTAAAGGTTACTACCCACTCCGTCCTATGGATAGCCTACGTTTGTAACCAATAGTTTCCTATTAACAAGAAATTATAAGCTGGCCATGGTGGCCCACGCCTGCAATCTAGCACTTGGGAGGCTGAGGCAGGAGGACCTCCATGAGTTTGAAGCCAGCCTGGGCTACACAGTGAGTTCAGGGCCCTGAACTACAAAGCGAGGCCCTGACTAAAAAACCAAAAAAGCCAAAACAAAAAACACCCTGAAAATTTATTTATATTTATTTAAAGTATATTTATATTACTTAAAGTATATTTATTTTGTAAATTATCATTGTCTTTAGTTTACTGTATATTAATGTTCTATTTCTAAGATACTGAAAGAAAATGAAGTTGAACCAACTAAGCCTCTTCAGACCCCACTGGTGAGTTGAGTTATACTGTAAATTGTAAAATAGCCAGAAGTTATTTGTATATGTAAGTATGGCATATATTTTAAGTTTGTATTATGTGTTGTCAGTTTTCAGATTCATTTGCAGTTGATCACTCTTTGTTTAGATGAACCCGCTGTCTTTTGTATAAATGTCTTGCCTGATCAATATGATGTGATTAAATAATATATCTTTTATTATGAAGTCATTTTTGCAAATTTGCAAGCATTATTAAATCTTTGAATTGTCATTGACAATTGTACATGCAGCTCTTTGACCTAAAACAGAGCCAACTAAACAGAAGTATTTGTGTTTTGGTGGCTTGCCAGTTTTCAGCCTTATATAACTAGATCAGATGGGTACAATCTTAAACACCTACCACCTAAAAACAACAACAACAACAAAAACAATTACCACCTGAATAATTTAACTCACAAATGATCACATTCTTAATCTTTTTCCTTTTTTCACTTGAAAAACTAGAATTTTGACTTAAGTCAGGAGGATTGCAAATTTGAATCCAGGCTGGGCAACTTAGTGACTTACTAAGACCCAGTCTTAAAAAAGAAAAATAAAAGTTTGGGGATGTGGCTCAGTTCAAAGATCCCGAGTTCAATCCCCAGTATTACACACACAAAAGAAAGAAGAGAATTTTAACTTTTCAAGGACAGTTATCACAAAGTGTAGACTGTAAGTAAACACTATCACTATTTCTTTCTCCAGAATGAATTGCTATTTAAAACAAATGTACCTGGGCCAGGGGTTTAGCTCAGTGTTGCTGCCGCCTGCCTTGAAATTGCAAGGTCCTGAGTTCGATCCCTGGTACCAAAAATAAAATAAAATAAAATAAATGTACCACATTTCAAAAAATCTGTTCTACTCCCACAGCAATAAAAAAGATTTTATGATCTTCCACAATAAAAATTATTTAAATCTGTTTTTAGCATTTAAAAAGGAGTACATCTGTGTTTTTGTGTTGGCTCTTTCTTACTACAGCTTTCTGAAACGTCCCTTTCTTGAATGTTGGTAAGACAAGAACTTTCAGAACTTCATGTGTTCTTTGAATATACACTTAATGCCTCTACCTTACTTCTCTAGATATAATTAGCCACACAGCCAAGAAGCTGTTCCAGTGGAGAAAGAACTTTGCTAATTAATTTCTAATATTCACTGTTAAAAAATTTTAATTATAAAATATGAATTGAATATTTTTAAGAACTGCTTGGTTGGCAGCTGTACTTATATATTATGTTAGTAAAGAAAGTAAACGTGCTTTAAAGAACTACATAAGTACACTGACTTCTGTCTAATGAGAAAATATTTTTTTTCATATTTCTTTTTTGTTTGTTTTGTTTTTTAATTTTCTTTTTGGTACTGGAGATCAAACTCGGGTCCTTGCGCTTGTGCAGCAGGTGGCGAAACCACTTAGCTAAATCCCCGGCCCCTGTTTTTTTAATTTTTTGAGATAAGTTTTGCTGTATAATCTACATGCATTGCACACCAGGATGACCTCAGGTTCAGTCCTTCCACCTCAGCCTCCTTGGTGCTGGAAAAGCAGGCATGTGCCACATCTGTCTCCTTCCTTTCTCTCTCTCTCTCTCTTTCTCTCTCTCTCTTTGTATGGTGGTGCTGGGGATTGAATAGGAGCTTGTGCATTCTAGGAATCCATATTTCTTAAACACACCAAAAACTGCTTCTATAGTTGAATTCATTTTCTATGACCTGTCCAATTCATATTAAAATTACGGTTTCTTAATATAATACTTGATGAATTAAAAATGATTAATTGGTATTACCCATGTTATATTTTATACCTACTGGATGATTCATTACACAATTTTTTTTTTTTTTCTTTGGTACTGAGGATCAAACTCGGGTCCTTGTGCTTGCGCAGCAGGCGGCGAAACCACTGAGCTAAATCCCGGCCCTTGTTCTGTTTTTTTGAGACAGGATCTTGGTATGTTCAGGCTGGCTTTGAACTCACTGTGTAGCTCAGGCTGGCCTTGAACTCTTGGTGATCCTCCTGCCTCAGTCTCCCAAGTGCTGGGGTTACAGGCATGTGCCACCACGCTGAGCTCATTATACTGTTTATAGTTTTTTCTCCTTTAACTTCTCATTAATTAAAAATTTTTGTTTGTTTGTTTTGTTTTGGTACCAGGGCTTGGGACCTTGTGCTTGTGAGGCAGGCGCTGGAACCACTGAGCTAAATCCCTGGCCCCTGTTTGTTTTGTTTTTGAGATGGGGTTTCACTTTGTAGCCCAGGCTGGCCTTGAACTCACAGTGCTCCTGTTTGCTCAGCTTCGTGAGTGCTGAGATCATAGGTGTGTTCCACTGCATCTGGCAAAGTTATTTCTAACTAATGTATAAAAATATAAAAATTTCACATAGTAATGGAATCAAACCAATTTTTTAATGAAATGACTACATTAAGATAGTACTAGGTTTTGGTAAGTGATTTATTTTGTACTCAATTTTTTTCTAGTGCTAAAAGATTCAATTAAAAATTTAGCATCTGTGAGTTTGATCCCTGGTACCAAAAAAAATTAGCTTCTGATTTCACTCTAAAATCAGGAACAAGAAAAGGACATCCATTGTCACCACTCTTATTCAGTATAGTTCTGGAAACATTAGCCAGTGCAATTAGGGAAGAGAAAGAAATAAAGGGAATAAAGATAGGAAAGGAAGAAGTTAAATTATCATTATTTGTGAATGACATGATACTGTACATAGAAGACCCCAAAAATGCCAACAAAAGACTTCTAGATTTAATAACCAAATTCAGTAGAGTAGCTAGATACAAAGTCAACACTCAAAAATCAGTAACCTTCCTGTACACAAATAACAAAGTCACAGAGAGAAATTAGGGAAACCACACCTTTCACAATTGCAGCTAAAAAAATGAAATACCTAGGAATCAATCTAACAAAGGAAATAAAAGAGTGCTACATTGAAAACTACCGTACTTTGAAAAAGGAGATTGAAGAAGATATCAGAAAATGGAAAGATGCCCCTTGTTCCTGGGTAGGAAGAACCAATACAGTAAAAATGGCCATACTTCCAAAACTGTTATCTGACTTAATGCAATCTTGATCAAAATTCCAACAGCATTTCTTACAGAATTAGAGAAAACAATCCTGAAATTCATTTGGAACCAGAAGAGACCTAGAATAGTAAAGGCAGTTCTGGGCAACAAAAACAAGGTGGGGGCATCACAATTTCTGCATTGAAATTATACTACGGGGGCCGAGGATTTAGCTCAGTGGTTTCACTGCCTTCTGCACACGTGCAAGGGCCTGAGTTTGATCCCCGGTACCAAAAAAAAAAGAAATTATACTACAAAGCTACTATGATTAAAACAGCATGGTACTGGAAAAAAAACAGACCCGAGGATCAGTGGAACAGATTAGAAGATGCAGAAACAACTCCAGACACACTCAGCCACCTCATCTTTGACAAAGGAGCTAAAACCCTCACTAGAAGAAAGCACCTTTTAATAAATGGCGCTGGAAAAACTGGCTTTCCACTTGCTGAAGATTAAAACTAGACCCATATCTTTCACCATGCACTAAATTAAAATAAAAATGGATCAAAGATCTAAATATTAAAACAGAAACACTAAATCTGCTGGAAGATGGAATAGGTACAACTCTTGAAGACACTGGTGTAGGCAAAGACTTTGTGAACAAAACCCTGATCATACAGAAACTGTCACAAAGAATCAACAACTGGGATCTCATCTTATTAAAAAGCTTTTGCACAACAAGAGGATCCACCAACAGAGCTAAGAGACACCCCACAGTGTGGGAAGAAATTTTTGCCAGCTGTTCCTCAGACAAAGGACTATTATCTAGAATATATAAAGAAATAATTAAAAAAATCAGACTCCCCCAAATTTAAAGACCCAATCCAAAACTGGGCAGTTGAAATGAATAGACACTTCTCAGATGAATTAGAAATAGCAAACAGAGATATGAAAAAATGTTCAACATCACTGGTCATTCGAGAGATGCAAATTAAAACAAAGCTGAGATTTCATCTCACTCCATAAAGGATGGCTGTTATCAAGAAATTCAGGGCTGGGGATTTAGCTCAGTGGTTCTGCTGCCTGCCTCGCATCTGAGTTCAATCCCTGGTACCAAAAAAAAAAAAAA